CTTATAATGGAATAAATCTCTTCTGTAGGTTTTTTAATCTCTAAGATGGAGATGATAATAGTACTTGTTATAGTGAGGGAAAGTAGAGTTAATATGAGTAAAGTGTTGAATTTACTGTTATTATTATTTTTTAATATTTACATCACTATCTGTAATTTTTCTTGTGGTCATTATGACAGGAATAGAATTTATTCTTTCCAGGTGTTTCTCTGATTTTTCCCAGGGCAATTATTGAATTCATATTTTTCTCTTTGATTTGAAATCCCACGTGTACAAAATACTTATGTACACTAGAGTCTCTTTTTGAGCTCATGGTTCCTTTCTATCAATCTTCCTTTCTTATTCCAGCACCATATCTTATATATTGTAAAAATTTATTTAATATTTGACAATGTGATTTGTTTTTGATTCTTTTCTTGCATCCCAAATTTTCTTGGCCAGTATTATCACTTTATTATTCCTGAAGACTTCACAAATATTTTGCTCAAATTATAAAAAAATCAGCTAAGAGTTTTCATGGGATTTTTTAGTAAGTTTTGAATTATATTTAGCAGCACTTGTATCTTTACAAAACTGCTTTCCTTCATGCAATATGTTGATGTCTCTACATTTACACCTCTTATTTTACCCTTCAGTACAGTCCTGTTGTTTTCTTCATTTAGAACATGGGCATAATTTTTTAGTTTATTCCAGATTATTGTTTATGTTTTTGTTAATTTTGTAAGTGAGAATTGTTTGCTATTTTATTTTCTACTTCTTAAAACTGACACCTAGAAAGGCAGGTTCGGTTTGTAAATACTCACTTTGTAACTTGTCATTTAAAATTGGAAGTATTAAGTACTTGTTCCAGAATCCTATCTATTCTGTTTTTAAAAATTTGTTTCCAAGATTATCAAAATGGTCATAGCTAAGTAGTATAGGTGGGGAGACAGAAGGAGAGAGGTAGTGTGGCTCATGTACAAACTGTGAGCAGTTTCATGGCTGCCTTTAGTCTGGAGAAGCCCCAGAGGAAACCAGGTTAGACCAGGGGTGGCTTTGTATGCACTTGATAGCCAGCTTTCCTGCCTTTATGATGAAGCCTGGTGGGCGTGGCAGGTAGATGATCAAGGTCCCATTAAGGTCATTGGCTGCACAGAACTCTGTGTCTGTGAGAACTGGAGACCAGTGCCATGGGAAATGCTTGGTGCCAGGAACAATGAAGGGGAGCTGGGGAGCCTGTGTGTTAAGGATTTTCCAGTCCTGGGAGTGAGAAGAGCAGACTCTGCATTCAGATCTGAGTTTGAATTCATCCTCTCTTTTTTATTGGTCCTCTGAATTTTGTCCAGTTATATACCCTCTTTGTACTCGTTTTCTTGTCTCTCAAAACAGGAGAATTACAGCCTGTTGCTAGAGTGTTTGTTCAGGGTAAATTATTTGTGTCTATAAGATGCCATGTACAGTCACAAGCTCAGTGAGAAATAGGCTGTCGCTTCTTCTGCAACTCAGTGCTCGACAAGACATCAGGGGAAAGCCAGTTCTTAATTTGTATGTGATGCAAGTAGGAACAAAATTAATATTTTGCCTTTCCCTTGCATTATTCTTACTCCTTTGCTTCATTTACCTCTTTCCTCATTTCCTTTCCCTTTCTCCACCAAAAGATCCTGAGGCTCTCTCAGAACGCTAGATTCAAAATACTTTAAAGGTTGGCTCATCCCCTTGAAATGACAGTGAAATAAAAAAATCTGTTCACATCCCAGACTTGACTGTATTTAATTTACACACAGACACATACACACACACACACACACACACACACACACACACACACACACATCAGGCTATCTCTCACTTGCTGAGGGAGAAGGACCACTTTTTCTGAGTTTTCATTCACTGAGCATGAGAGCAAAGTCTCTTAAGCAGACTTTATCCTGGCTTCATGCATGGTTTTTATTGGATTTCTCTGTGGTCGTAGAATTATTCTCCTATTAGAAGAGAGGAAGTGGAGACATAGAGATTCTGCTGAGACATCGGTGTCATCATATTTGAGTTGGAAAGGACTTAAGACAGCACAGAGTCGTAACTTTTTATGGGTGAGAATCCATGATGGTGTAACTAGGACAAGAACATGGGTCTTCTGCCATCGTGTCCACACGGGTGAAGATGTAACTGGGTGGGAGGATGGCAGGGACCCTTCTTGCTTGAGCCCCGGGGTCTTGCCAGTTTTCATTGCTCAGCTGCCTTTAGTTTATGTCCATGCGGCCTCTCATGGGAAGGTCACTCTGTCTTGATAGATTGAGTTTTTTACTAGCAAAAAGCTCTGGACCCACTCATATTTCCCAGTTTTTCTGCTGACCTGCTGACACTTTATGTAAATGAGAGCTAAGAGAACTACTGGATATAAAATCCTTATTTTTATCATTTGCCCTCGAGTTCCATAGGAATGAGGTGCTGTCTCAGGCTGTCTAAAGCTAGATCTGAACAAAGATAGGGTGATAGGCTGTGCTGTTAGACCCTCCACAGTCAAATGGGATTTCCACCTTAGTTTTTAGAATCAGGCAGACGAGTTCAAATCTTGCCTTTACCAGTTACTAGCTTTGTGACCTTGAGGAAGAAAGTGTACTTTTTTGTGTCCAATTTTCTTTATCTGTAAATCAGTTAGGTATTTATTTTAGGGTTTTTATTTTAGAATTGAATGAGCTAATTCCCTCATTTATACCTAAAATACTAATCGCATGGTTCTATGCTGATGCCTTGGTAGTTGATTACTAAGGGAGTTCGCAATGAGAATGGGGTGGGGCACCCTTGGATTATA